AAGGTGATCAAACCCAAAATATTTTGGTTCAAATATTATATTTGATTGGCTAACTAAAACTGCTTTGGTAAATTTAATTGTCCATCTTATCCAGCGGCTCTCATCTTTCCAAGCTGAAACTACAGTATTGCCATCCGAATCATACTATGACAAAGATACCATAATGTGCAAAGACGAACCTTTGAGCTTGACATTTCAGAAGCAAAGGATATGGCCATAAATAATCAGATAAAAATGAAAATTGTACCAAAAACAAATCGAAATATTAACGATTTGACTAAAATGATACAAAAAGAAATTTCTATATTTGAGGAAGAAGGTACATGTGGTACCAACTTGAAGTTGGTAAACGATTATATTTTAACTATTTCCCCAACGAGCGTAGAAACTGAACGAGCTTTCTCTTCATTGGGAATGTTATGCACGAAAATTCGATAATCTTTATATGAATAAATTTTAAATACTTTATGTTTTTTGCGGGCCTATTTCAATAATAAATAATTTTTTTTATGCTTTTTTTTTTAACTTAAATAATAAAGCTTCGGATTTGTTTGTTTTCTTACTTCTTTTTATTAATACTTTTTGTAATATTTATAAATACCAGTATTAATATGGGTATATCGGTTTTCACTAACTCTAATACCGAAAAACCGGTATTTAATTTTTGGTCCGGTATTGGAAGCCCTTTTTTTTTTTTAAATAGTGTTAATTGTATAGTGGGACAATTATTAAAATTATAATCAGGGGAACCTTTAAATTCTAATTTTTCCAAGTCAAATTTTTATATAATATAAAAAGTATTTTTTTTTAACTTTTTCTAACTGGGGGGCACTAAAAATTTTATAACTTCAAAAATACTTGGTAGATATTTTCTTTTCTAATCTAAACCTCAATTTAAAAGTTAAGCATTAATTAAGCATAATTTTAAAATTTAGTGAGAGTAGGACATCCTCATGTCAAATTAAAGATAATATTCATAATCTTTAATAAACATAATTGTCAAATCAATATTCCAGTAATCTGTGTGTTTTCATAAAAATTTAAATATTTCATCAATGAAATAATCAATCAATTACATAAAGTATTTGTTCTCCTTGTTTAGTTAATGATATAAATGCAATAGTTTATGTCCAAAATTGTTTGACAAAGGTTACTCCAACAATTAGAAACTTTAAACAGATGGACAGTGTCTGTTATAACAAAACTGATGAATTTAAGAAAGAGATGCGAGTGCTACAATTCTATTAAAATATTAATATTAGTTGACTAATTGAAATATTAATGTTAGTTAGGGGCATCTATAAAGTATGTACAAAGTAAAACCAATGATTTAGGACTCCCCTTCCTTCCTTGTACGCACTTGAATGCTTTCAACAACCCCCTCCCTCTGCGCACATTGGCATTATATTTTACAAAATCAAGCACCCCCTTTCCTTAATGCATAAATTTTTCAAAACATTTAAAACAAAACAAAATTTAGTTAATTCAACATTTATTTGAACTGAATTTAAAACTGGAAAGTCATTTGTTAATAACTTCCCTGTTTTTGTTACGAGTATTATATATTTTATACTTCCACAAATGGTGACTTGAATAAATCATATATGTTATATATTTTTGTCACGAGTATTATATATTTTATACTTCCACAAATGGTGACTTGAATAAATCATATATGTTATCAAATACAGGCATGAACTTTGCTTCCACACTTTTATTAGCAATTTCCTCACTGATATTTTCACTTTTATTTATAGATTCACTCTCACACTCTTCTCAATCTCCATTTCAATTATTTGTGTGTGTGTGTGCTTTCTTGTGCTGTTTAATTACAGTCTTGCTTGGCCAGTATTTATTGCATTTGTCGCTAACTACTTTTGAGAGCTTTTCTTTTTATGATGAGCAATACAGATCAAATAGTATAATTTTGTATTTTAATCCTTCTGTAGGTATATCATGTAGCAAAGGACGATGTGTCAGTGGTGCAAACTTTGATTGGTTTGATACATTTTTAAAATATAGTGAGAATGGTTCCTTTGTTTTGTAAACATTCTTGCAATATTCGCAGATGGCCACAAATGGAATGAAATGTTGGGGGAGGTTTTTCAGCCAGTTTGTTTCAAACAGTGTTACACACTGCTGTGGGTAACACTGTTTAAAACAAACTGGCTAAAAAACCTCACAACTACTATTTCTAAGATTTTAGGTAAGCATGGTGCATGATCCTGAGCTCCATAAGTCTCCATTAATATAATTGGTCTACATTTAACCAACTTGGTTTTAAAAAACTCTCTAACATCAAAAGCATGTGTAAAAGCATTTGATGTAAAAGCATTTGATGTATGCATGTGTAAAAGCATTTGATATTGTGTTTCCCACTTATGCATATGAAAGTGTCCCCCACTGTAAGATACATTTCCAGTTTTGTTAACTTCGCATATGCCGTACACTGATTGGATCAATTTGTGTTGTGGGCCAACAACAAAAACGTAATCCATAAGTTTGACATTTTATTCCATATGCATCAGCAATGGTGCTTGAAGGCTTGCAGCAGCAAGACCCAATGGGACCCTGGCTTTATCATTGTTGTAAATGAAAAGCACAGCATTTGGTTCAAACAATTTTTAAACTTCAAACATGTCATCAATGAATGATTTGGCAAACATTCTACTGTCATTTTTTATTTGCAGTTTTCTGGATGTAATAGCTTTACTTGAACTTTGTTGACATGTTTTTTTCCTTAAGAAGTGTTTCTACGTTGTGTTAAAAGACAAAGTAAAGGTACAAACCACATCTTTGTCAACTCTGCCTGAAGGTCATCCATATTGGAGACGCTACAAAGATATTTTCTTCAACGTTTGTCAGCTGCTGATGAACTTTGCACAATTTTATAATTTTCGATAAAAACTCTGGTTGATCAACTTCAAGACACAGTCATTCAGGAGGGTTTCAAAAAAACTATTTTCAAGCACTTGATGCTTCAGGGTTTTTCTGAAATACAGTTTTGATGCTTTCTTTAAGTTTTTGCCTCTGTTTTCTTTGACAAGCTGATTCACAAATCAATCTGAAAACAAAATGTCAGAAAATCTTTGATTTCATTATAAAAACTTCTATACTTAAGATTTTGCAACTTTTGGCTAATGTTGCAAAAGAAAAATTAATTTATCTTACCTGTACAGTTTTGTTTTTTCTAATTCTTGTATGGTTTCTTTCACAGTGTTTGTTTGTTCCTTTGTTATGGTACGGTACAAAGAGAGTCCCGTACGATCATCAAGGATGAACTTCGTGATTCAAGATCTAAGATTTTCTTTTGACACCTAACTTATGCCGGATTTTCTCTTTCCTTCTTGTTGGATGTTAAATCTAAGTTAAGAAATTCTTGGCAGCTGATACTAATCAATTTATGTTAGATACAGAAAAATAGGTTAGTGGTCAATGATAAATAAATTTCTGTGACTGCTTTATGGTCATACGATGTAATTTGATTTACAATTTAGTTGAACTCAATGTATAGAAAATCATGAGAGAGAAAAGTTTGTAAAATATTACAGAAATTAGCTTGCTAAGTAATCCTTGCAGGCTCAGTCGTAGTTGCATTTAGAGAACTTCGTGTTTTATTTAACAAAGATGGCGCTAGATGGATATTTTTTTTCTTTTTGCTAGGTGGTAAAAAGCTTTTCGTTGAATGATATAATTGATCCTTTCGACTTTGTTGCTTTAACTTTTCACTCATTTAATTTTTTTTTCAAACAAAGATTGATCATTTTTTACTATTTTCCACAACTGTTGTGCGTACTGATACTGCTTTTATTTTTTAAGAGTTGAACACGTTTTTGTATACAACTCAAGGAATTGAAGATATTTTTTCTCATTCTCTACAAATCCGTACGGCATCTTGTTAATAATAAATGATAAGTTTTTTTTACAATGTGGTGTATTCAGTTTTCAAATAGAATGATGAAAGTTTTTTTGTTTTGTTTTGGTGTATTCAGTTACAATTTGTTCAACTCAAATTAATTGTTGTTATATTGCATAATAAAAAGTATTGGTTTCCATTGGCATTAAAGTAACAATTTTTTACAATTATCACAATTATTGTCAGATGTAGTGTCATATGTATGTTCATTTTGATATGCCTGTCCCTAACTATCTTAATGCATGTCAATATAAACTTAAATTAATTATAAAAAATTATAATATTAACCTGTTTTTAATTTTATTATTTAAATGTAAAATATAAACTTGTTGTAACATTTCAAGAGAAATGGTAAAAACCAGGTTGCGCAATTAAAAAAAAGAATTCAGAAAAAGTTTGCTTTTATTACCGCCTTTTTGCTTCTCATTTCGCTGCAATCAAATAACATTGCAAAAAATAAAAAACATTATTTGGAGATATTATCGCTCGATTTCTTTTTTCTCTCCTCGTTTTTTATAAAGAAATATAAAAACAATTGTGACCAAAATCAGGAAAAAAACAACATAACATTGATTTTTTACACATGTAAAAATCAATATTTAAAAAAAAAAAAAAAACAAGCTTAGGAGAGATAGTCAAACTGCATACGTACTCGCTGTCTTTAACACCTTCCCCCCACTCTCCCTTGTATGCATTCATTTGTTTTTTGATAACCCCCTCTTCCCATACTTGTGTACATATTGTTTGGTGACCCCTATATTAATTGTCATTGAATATCAATATTTTGTGTAAAAAAATACTTAATATTCAGTAAAAATACTCAATATTCTTATTTGAGTATTTTTTTCGCACAGAATATTAACATATGTATCAGTGTGTATAATACAAATTAATAAGAGTGTGCAATACAAATTAATAAATGTATACAATACAGCTATAGTTCATAGTTTTAGTATAAATTATTTGTAGTATAATTCATAGTTTTAGTAACAACTTTTATAAATCTTTGATTTTGCAAAATTTATTTTTCTGTAAAATAAAAATAATATTTAAGCAAGTAAAATAATTTAAAAATTCACAATACCAATTTAATTTGATTATCACTCATGTTCCTTGCAACATCCAGATATATATCGACTCCATATAAGAATTCAATTAATAACTTTTCCATCATAATAGGCCGAAGTTCTCTTAAGTACATACATGCCTACACAAATTGCAATTCTTTTAAAGACTTGAATCAAAATCAAGGCACAAAATATAATTATTAGAAAATAC